CCAGATATGTTGCTAGATTTTAGGGGAAAATATTTTGAGTAGTCACGTAGCGAATTGAGGTAGTTTGCTTGATGATAACTGAAATAACATTTATTCATGAAATCTAACAACTCATCTTGACTCTCTCAGCGTCAGGCAAAAATTTTCAATTGAAATATACTAGCTTATATTTGGTTAAAAAGTCCGAACATTTAGTTAATATAGTCACTATTTTTTTTCTGTTTACTCGTGCCCAGATGTCCGCCGCACCTCCTTATACAGACACTGATATAGCGAATTATCGGATATAGCGAACTAATCACGAAGTTTGGTTGGTCATTCTCTATGTCGATGGGCGTTCTAGTTACATAACAAAACCGAAACCGCGAGATCTGACACGATATAGCGAAGCAATTCCTGCTTTTCTCACGTCATAAATTACTACGAACGTTATCAAAAAGTAGAAAAAAAATACAAAAACTAATCTTAAAACAAAAATTTTTCGAAATCGTAAGTTTGTGTTTGTCCGCCCCTTCTCGTTTTCTTTCTCAAGTTTAATTGTCCCTACCAACCGGCTCGTTCTGTCCTTCGGTCGCCTGATGTGCAAAAATGCGCGTTTAGGGAGGTAGCGCCACCTATGAACCGAACGGATAACGGTGGTGGTGCCACTGCTGACCTCTATGCGCGCCACTAAGAACCAGTGCAGACTAAAGCCAACCGTGAACCACGCCACTCATAGGGGAGCTGCAAATGGCGACGAAGCGGAAAGACGTCTCTTTGGAGACGAAAGTGAAGGTTTTGATGGCGGTGGACAGCGGTCGAAAAAAAAAAAAAGACATCGCTGAGAGCTTCGAGCTTGCACCAAGCGCGGCATCTACCATCCTGAATGCAAGGAAGATCGAAGACCGCTGTGCAAACGATACCGTCAAGATTGACCGAAAGTTTCCTACGCTTTACGTGTCTACCCGGGCGATTTAGAGGCTCTGTCCTCGTGTTTGACAGTAAGAGCGTGAAATCTGCCGGTATCTGGTCAGCTTCTTCAAACGCAATCAATCAGTCTGGCGTGTCTGTAGAGACATGATGAATTCAAGGCGAGCAGAGTTTGGCTCTAGCGTTTCCAGAACCGCCATAAAATTGGTTACCACAAGTTGTCTGGCGAAGCCTCGGCCGTGAGTGCAGAGACGTGCGAGAAGCGGCTGGAGTATTCCGACCAGTTCTAACTGCTAGAGTACGACGAGAGCGATGTGTACAACGTTGATGAGACTGGAGTGTTTTTTTCAAGTTGCTACCAGAACAGTCGTTGGCCGTGCGAAACAAAACTTACCATGGAGAGGAAAAGCACAAAGAACGGGTGACTGTCGTCGTTGAGGCCAACATGGACGGCTCTGACAAAAGGCGTCTCACTTTCATCAGAAAGTCTGCTCGGCCCATGTGCCTACGGCATCTGGAAGCGAACTGGCCCAATAAAAAGGCCCGAATGACGTCAAAGTTGTTCGAGGTCTTGCTAGTTACTTTTGAAAAGGACATGGATGAGCAGCACACGAAGGTCCTCCTGATTTTGCACAACTGCTCCGCGCACAAGGTGGCGACTCCACTGAATGTTGTCCGTTTCATGTTCCTGCCACCGAACACAACGTCTGTACTCCAGCCCCTTGATTAAGGAAATATCCAGTCTCTGCAGTGCTTTAGATAGCGCTTCATGATGCAGCTCGTCTTTGACATTGACCAGCGGATATCCACAGCCATCAACATGAAGATGACGCTAAAAACGTAGTACGGGTCGTAGACCGATGTCATACAGTCGACCATAATAAACTGTTTTGTGGACTAAAGCTTCGTTCCACCCCCCATTGAGTTCGGCCCGAGGACCCGACAGAATGATCTGCCTTCGGTTGACACTGCCGAACGTCTTAATTGAGCATTTCGTTTCTGCCAACACATTGGTTGTGGCATCCGAGCTTACCGATCAAGAAATTTTGGATCGGGTTGTGTTGCCCGGCGATGACAGCACCAGCGACAGCGATGATTACGAGAGCGAAAACGACACTGATGAGCCGCCGCCAACTAGCGCAGACACAACAGACATGGTCCGCAAGCTGCAGAATTATTTGGAGAAGCTCCCCACTGCCAAAATTGCTGAAATCAAGCAGGCGCTCTCGTGTATGGCCAATGTGGAGAACTTCATTCTTCAAAACGCTGTAAAGAGGCACCGGCCCAAAAGGTCGTCTTTTTCAAATAAATGTAACATGGATCCACCTAAGGTCGTTTCTCGTGTTGCAAATTAATATCGGCATTTTCCGATCTGTTTTTATTATGCTGTTCAGTGACAGGTACGGGCCTCGATGTCCGCGTCTGCGTGTTTTTATATGGTACTGCTGTGCACGATCTTCCACGGGCTCAATTACTGCCGCGATCGCGTCGATTTTATATGTACTCTTATAACGGGTATCGCATGTAGCGAACAAATTTCTGCTCGCGATGCTAGTGTTTTGTAACGAGGTTCGACTAAAGCGGTATCCGACATTAATATTTTTTTCAGTGTCCTTTTGGTTTTGATTATTTGACATCTTAGAAAAGAACTACCCTACATATACGCTTAAACGGCGCAGAATTTTGAAGTAGCTCATAGATGCGTAGACTGTACTTAGGCCTTTAAAAAATGTAATGAGAAAAAATGACAAAAACAATATTATTGAAGCAATGAATAATAATAAAACATATGTTTAAATTTAATATAACAAGAATTAACAAGGCAATCTCGCAACGTACACCCGTTGAATCATCAAAAATGTATTCCTGTGTGACTTCATTAAACGAGGAGTTTGTATTCATAACCTTTCTATATAATTCCGCACAATTGTTTTAAGTAACCGTTGTATTGTATATGTATTTGGGTATTTTATGAATTGTTGATTTATTTTTTGGTTTTCTTTAATTTCTCGTTGGCACCTTTTTATCTCTCTGAGGCTCTTTTGTTGTTCTTGTTAGTTGAGCAATGTCATGCTACCCTGGACCTGTACTATTTGAGCGTGTTGGTGCGTTTTAAACATTAAAAAGTGGAGACACATATGGGACGATACAGACAGGGCAAACTTTGTCCTGTCTGTATCGTCCCTTATGTGTCTCCGCTTTCTAAATGTTTAATACCCTGGGCCCTGTGTTTGTTTCTAACTGAAAACAACAAATATTTAGTTTTGTTTTCAACGAATTTTAATCCAGGAAAAACGTGGCGTATCTTCGCAAATGCCAAATTTTAAAACCGAAAAAAAAGTGCGCGAAAAAATATTTTGTTTTTGCTTTATGAGTGTTATTGAATTTTTTTTTTTTTTTTAGAGTACGTTATTGACGAGTTTTATTGAAATATGTTTATTTCTTTAGAGTGCGTTATTGTTGCGCATCGCACACAAAAGAAAATTAAAATTGTTGCGCGCTTAAGCTTTTGCGTTCAAGGCAGCTCTTCGAGGCAAAAATGAACGGAAAAACAAAAGTTGATTTGGGCTGGGCGGAATTCGGTGAGGCAAGGAACCGATATCTCAATGTAATATCGCCGTATGCGCGGTTTCTTCAGGAAACCGCGGAGGAAACCTCATTCTCCAAAAGAGAATGAGATTTTTCTATGTATATGTTTATATAAATACTCTTTTAATTTTATTTCAAGTGATTCTAGTGCCAGAAACGCTATTATCAGAGATTTGCCCGCTTGCCTTTTTTCCGCGTTTTCATTTCAGTAAAATTTGCAGCTCGGCATTCTTTGCCTTCGATCATCCCCGTCTAGGATTTTCACGTTATAAAATATACATCTGAAGGGAGAAAGTTTCCATTCTTAGATCGGAAAGGCGATACAAACCTCTCAAGATATAATTCACGAGGGCAACGGGAAAAAGTGAAACGGGTGAAACTTTGTTCTTGCATAGCGTAATAGTCAACGTCTTGAAATCGCAATATGTTTAGGTTTTTTTTTTTTTTTTAAGTGAGAGAAAAATGAATTATATTCGACATTATCTATTATCCCAGATGTGATGAATGCTGCTATGCCTTTATTCCATAAAAAAATCTTTTCTTATTACAACAAATTTTGTTATCGTTAGCCTTGAGAGCTAATCGATTGGGCGATACATTTCGATTACCAGAAAACTGCGCGGAGTGGGTGCATGATCATTTTTATTTCTTCTTTGGTATATCTTACTTTATTCACGCGAAGAGCATTTTCGACTTGTTATACTTGTGGTCGAGAACTGACAAGACTGCTAAGGTGAAATTGCTTTTCCCCGTGGAAAGTACAGTTTGGATGGAATCGATAAAGTGCGATTCCCTTATGTTCGTGTAAAGGATCGCGTGTGTTTATTCCCGGAAATGCTTGCGTTGAAGTAGTGGTCGTAAAAGCAGCTTAAACGTGTATGATTTTATTTATTTTAGTATTTGCATACTTTTTTTTTCGGGTCACGGAAGTGTTCAAAAAATGACAAATTTGAAAACGGCTTCCACCGTACTACCCGAAAATTGTTCTTCCGTGACCACAACGATTTGTTCTCTCCGGTAGTTCACTTCCTTGGTTGACTGGTCATGGCCGCTAGCAGAATTACTTTGAGCGATGATTGGAAGTCACGTTGGACGCCAGCATCTGTCGACGGACTTCAATGAAGTGGTGAAAAAAAAAAAAAAAAACATTTTGGACCCGGCTTTTTCGGGTGCATTCAGCGATATTGTTTCGCGAATAATTGTGATGCATGATAATACGGTACGTAATTCAATAGCCTTTGGTCCTTTAATGAGGATACTAGAACATTTAAATCTAAATCAGGTAATTGTAATTTTTTTTAAATATAGGGGTAACTCGGTTTAGCAACATGATATCAACCTTTTTTTTACATTTTCTGCGCGATGCCTAGCTTTCGCCGACGCAATTTGGCCCACGTTCCGTGTAAAACACCATGTATATTTACCACCCAACGTTTTACGCTCTCCTTTGCTTGTATCAGGGTGTGTGCCAGAATCCCAAGATGTTCCTGCGGTTCTCGCAGGCGAGCCCGGACACCCAGGTAAACCTGGGCTGGACGGCAGAGATGGCCTTCCAGGGGAGCCCGGCCTGGACGGTGTGCCGGGAAGAGACGGCGTGGACGGGGTTCCGGGCCGCGACGGATACCACGGCACGCCCGGCACCCCGGGAAGGCCGGGCACCAACGGCACCGACGGTGAGCAGAGAACAACAGGCGCACCATTTTTACCGAGAAAGAAAATCTCGTCGTTTGCTCAAAAGGGAACAACACGCAAAGATGTTCGAGAGGAGAACCTACTTATATACCAAGGGTGGCCAGGTGGACATTTGCACAGAGCCAATAAATAGAAGTCATGGCAGGATTTTTTATTTAATTTTGGATGATGTACAAGAATTGTACCCATAAAACGATTGCTCAGTATGTTTACTTATTGTGCGTCCCTATTCGTGGAACAAACACTTTGTAGTTTGGCTCAGACGATGTCACAGTGGTCCCGAGCAGCTCAGCTAGGTGTTTGATCATGAGGGTTGGAACTTCACCGCCTTTATTGCCTCACACCAGTACGTGTACCTGTGTTGGCACGGCTGCCAAGAAGTCAGCTGTTTTTTGTATTCTGTGACATTTACTTGTGATCTTTCACGGAGGGCGGAAAGGGTGGGGATACGCATACCAGAGGGCTGCGAGCGGCAGTTTGGCTACCCCTGATATAGACCCTTTCCACATAACCTCATACCAGCGCACAACTGACATACCCTCAACCCGGTGCATTTTCGATTGCCTGCTCAAACAAGGTAGGCAACCGCCAAGGGCATTGGTGAAAAGGCCTAGAAACGTACGTCGTGCATGATTTAGTTCCGAATACTTGTTTTTAACGTTTTACGATTTCCGAAAAATGAGGGTTGACTAGCTATCAATCCGTCGTCGGCGGGTGCATAAATAATTTTAAAAAGCACGAGACAACTCGCGGAATGTGTTCGATGAGCACAAGAAGCTGCATTGTGAGCGAGGCTCCGATGTTATTGAACTTCACATGTTCCTCAAGTATCCTTATTTAAGAGGTCAGTCTATTGCGAGGGTGAATCTCGAGGGCTTTGCATCAGACTCAACGTCACGTTTATGCTCACGTCTCCTTTGTCTACGGCGTGAAGACCGATTGCACCTCGCTGTAGGTACTCCGATTAGGTTATCGCTACAAGGAACGTTATTGCTCCGTGGCATGTGAAGAGCAAGAAATCGTCTACCGACACCCTACCAGCATAGACTGCATTAATCTGCTCATATATACCTTCAGCGTGGGAGCTAAATAAAAACACTTCACCGCCTTCGTCCTCGTTCTTTCTAGGAGGATCAAGAGGCCAAGTTCCAGCCAAGTTATCGTAGCCCACCATAGCCAATAATTCTAGCCAATTTGCCCCTGTACCCACACCTTTGCCCACACAGATACATATATAGCTGTGCTGCCAGAAGCAGCCGGTATTTCAAGTTTTTGGCCACTAGACGGCGTCATCGGCACCACAATTCTAAAGACGGCGGCGCCCTTAGAAAAAAGAAAAAGCTCAATAGACCATACGCGTGCCTGTGACGTCACACCGCTGCAGGCGGCGCAGCTGTAAGCCCGGCGCAGGCGCCTCTCCTCGCGCGAATTTAATTTCTGCGCACGGGCAGTGCTCACCACTGGGTGGAGCATAAAATGAGCTTGCCATGTAACCAGCGCGTTACTGCGTGTATGCTCCGAATATTTTGTATTAAAATTTGCATTTCTCGACGATTACGGTAAACAGTCGCGTTTATCAGTGCTTCATGGATGGTGAACTCCACGGTAATCGTTCGTGCATATTTTTTGGTGAAAAGCGAACTTCACAATTTCTTTCCCCAGTAACCGCTAGAGTGAAGTTGGTTGAGAGTTATCAGTCACATTACGCATATTTATTTTGGATTGTGATTATCGAAAGGTAAAATTGCTACAATCTTTGCACCCAGAGGGATTTCACACTCCGTCACCGTTCTACAGGGTGATTCAAGGAGACACCAGGCTCTTTAAATCGACCGCAAAATTCGGTTTCTTAACCTCTTGAGCTGCGACTTCGTGCAACGTTGCCCACAGATGGAATTTTTTTTTTTTTGTAAAATTTGCAAAGAGCAACTTACCTGAGGAAAAAGTAAAGAAAGAAAAAGGCTTAGCTCCTATGGAAACGCAGCGACGCCACCGGTCTTCAAACAACACGGCGCCGTTTCGCACGGGAGACAAGAGATGACGCAACGAACGCCGCCGACGAACTAGCATACGGCACTGAGAGCCGGCGTTTTTAGCAGACGATCTTTTCGACTCAAAAGCGGCGCGCGTTAGGCAGGCGGCGACAGTCGCAGAGACAAAAACAGCCGCGGTATCAACAAGGAACTGCAGTTCCTTACCTTGCTAAAGACGTCGGCTCTCGGCGTCGTATACTCGTTCGTTGGCGGCAGTTGGTGTCGCGACCACTTGCGCCGTCTCTTGTCTCCCGTGCGAAACGGCGCCGTGTTGTTTGAAGACCGGTGGCTTCGCTGCGTTTCCATAGGAGCTAAGCCTTTTTCTTACTTTACTTTTTCCTCAGGTAAACTTGCTCTTTGCTAATTTTACAAAAAAAAAAAAAAAAGCACCATTTGTGGTCAACGCTGCACAAAGTCGTAGCGCGATAGGTTAAGAAACCAAATTTTGCGGTCGATTTAATGAGCCTGGCGTCTCCTTGAATCACCCTGTAGTGTCTCGAAAAATGTCCAAGTTGTATCTTCTTTGCCCCGATTTCAATGCGCCTTTGCTGTTTTCGGCGATGTTCTGCACTCCGCTAGCTTGGTACACCGTCGCATAATCATCATATAACTCCAGGCCTTTCTTTCATTTTAGAGATATCAGTGGCCGATGAACATCTGACAGATTTTAAATGGATGCTAGCTTTTTGTGTATGACAGGAAAATGTTTGTAGTGAGTTCAACAAAAAAAAATTCTAGATCTCATTGCACCATAGCATGTATAAACGTTAAAAGTTACGGCGCCAACGATTTAACCGCCAAGTAGAGGCGAGGGACGTGGCATAATATTAGCGCAGTGCACTCTTCATGTGGTCCGCAGCTGTATAGGTCTTCGCTTCGTCTGTTTTATTGGCTGAAGGAGGCCGTACCGGTCGCTATTTCTAATGTTATGTGGAGATAAATCATATAGCGTTGCGTATTGCAACCCTTAAAATTCGCGGACTCATTTATTCAAATATATGGCATTTTATTCAAAATACTAGAGACGCAATTGTAAAAAGCAAACAAAAAAACTCGAATTTGTTTTAGTCATCATCACCTAAGCAGGAGGAACATGAACATAGCGTTGGAGGCAGTCACCCAGTTTTGCAGTAAACGTTCCACTCTCACACCCACAGATAGCGACGTTTGGAATATTGAATGCGGTATAGCAACCTGGTCATTTGTGGACTAAAGGTGAATGTTAAAGGCGCGACGTCAATACCGCGGAAGGGGCTGATTCAGCGTGAGAGCTCACGCGACCGAAACAGCTTCCCAAGTTAGGATACTGAATCCCTACCCGGTCCAGCTTTCGACGGCATTCTGTGAGGGCTCTGTCTTAACTAAACATCTAAAGAATAAAATGCGGAGGACAAGCACAAGACAGTCACGTTTGTCTTGTACATGTCCTCTGTGTTTTATTCTTTCGACTTTAGGTATTCATGTTAAACTCGCTCGCTTTTATAAGAAGTCTGCCTTTACTTTCTGTGTGGGCGGAAAAGATAACCCACACGTCCCACAGAAACATATAAAATGAACAAAATAAGTTTCCTTGTCATTGAATCGAGCGCTTGATTACAATAGCGTGCTTACTTCCTTTCAGTTTAAAATAGCACTCAGGTGCTTTTTGTAGAAGCCTGTTTTTGATGTCATCTTGTTTGTTGGGCTTTAGTGACTAGAAGTGACCAGTTCTATGTGTCAAGACGTCCTAGCAAACTCACCGCCATAAAAATACGCGGGCGCTATTTTCTTTTGCGAAGGGCCGTCCTTGGATCCCGACAACCTCTATATATATGCTCGAGTTAAAATAGTGAATTGCGTGGAGATTTCAAGACAGGTATTATTATTGCTCTGCATGTGCGCGTACTGCATTGTATTTTCACAAAAGAAGTCAGATATTTTGGGCGCAGAAGACGTAATACACCAATTATTGTTTGAATACGCCGTCCGACGGCGCCTCCTGGTGTCCACTCCAAGGCGTAGAAAGCGGCACCTGTCACGGTCTTTAACACAATTTTTAATAGAGAAATCGGCCTTCCATGAGTGTAATTTCTGGTTTTCTTAGGGTGCTTAGAGCCCTCAGGTAGGGTTATCCCCTTAAATAGACGATCTCCAAATTCACTTCGGTGACTCTTTAAGTCCAGACGCACCCGACGCTACAAGCTCATGGAGCCATTGTCAACAGCGCATTAGCACGCTGTTCGTCATGTTTATGTGCATGTTATATCATTGCTGAACCATTCATAAATAAGAAACGCCTAGTGGTTTGCATTTTTGACGCTGTTTGGTTTGGCGTCAGGCCATCCGCTGCGTCTGGACTTAAGCTGAAGCGAACTATAGGTCGACTGTTGGTGGTGCAATGCAGGAGTAACGTCCGTTTCATTCTCCATACTCACTGAGAGCTGCAAACGCGCAGCCTGTGGAGAGTCCCGTAAGGCTTAGTATTGCTCCGCTACCAATGAGATAGCAACATCAGTTAACTGACAAGAACGACAAAAGAAAAATCATGAAGCAACAAGCGTGAACGTAGTTAGCCAAGTTTTCTTGTTTTGGGTCTTAAGGAGCCAGTAAGTATATAGAAATTGACATCTTAAGAAATGCGGAGCGTGGCAAGTTGAGACTCGCAAGCTTTATTATCGGGCCGCAATCGATAAAATAGAGGTATCAGCCGATAAGAACGCATAACTACAAATCAGGAAACAAGACGCGTGTGTGTCTTGCTTAGCAATTTGTAGGGCCTTGGGGGGGCGGAGGGGGGGGGGGGAAAGGGGAGGGGAGGGAGGGGGGGGAGGGGGGGGAGGATACACGATCTAAATGTATATACACACACCATCTAAAGTTTTCAGCATGAAAGACACCATGTTCTGCGGATAATGAAATAACAACAACGAATCGTTACAATGCTACAACAGAAACGATGCATTTAACAT